AAGGGTGGCTCTACCAGGAGTTTAGAAGACTCAGTCATTGGAAACATCTCTAGAACAAATATTGCATTTTAAAGAGAATTTTAAATGTTTACATTTTTGATATACAATAAGAAAAAATGCACCATTGTTTTAAGAAAAAAATGCCTAAAGAATATATGAAAATTTTTCTTTTAATTCAGATTAGCTTTAGTGACCTTTCAAATAGAACCAAAATTAAGTTTCAAGAAGGCATAAAAAAAAAAAAAAAAAACCCGCCAAAATGCAAGAAAAAAAGGGAACATGTTCAGTTTGTAAAATTTACCAAAAATCATGGCATCATTCAATTTGAGCATTCATTTATTAATGAATCTTTATTTGATCATTTTCAACTTCCACCCTTTATATACTGTGAACATAAAGTTTAGTGGGCACACAAAATTTTTAGATAAAAAATTATTTTTCATTTCTGTAGATTAAATCCTTCAAATCACAAATTTAATTTTTTTTTTTTTTTAATAAAAAAATTAAATCTATATGTTGTTCAATTGATGTAATCAATTATTGTAATATATGAAAAAAAAAAAAAAAAAAAAAAAAGAACTGATTAAATTTCATAATTTTTTTGGCTTTTATGGGGCAGGGTGATCAATTTGCAATAAATTTACATAATAGACTCACCAAATTAACTTATATGTGAGAGATTCCAAAATCTGGAATGCTTAATTTATAATACGAAAACATTGAAAAATTCACCCAGTTGTTTCAGTAGTGTGTATATTTGTAAAAGGGAAAGAAAAAAAAAAAAAAATCCATTTTATTGCTTCCTATGTGATTCTGAAATAGATACCCACTTTTATTTAAAAACTGTATTATGTCTATTGGTCTACATCAAGGGTCGGGAGCCTACGGCCTGCGAGCCTGATTACAAATGACTATTTTTAACATGAGAGACGACCTTCAAATGAAATTTGTTATATGTCATTTTCAATAGAATGTCTACACATCTCAGTGCACTAAAAATATTCGACTATCTGCCAGTTATCTTTCATGAGACTTATTTTACCAAGTTACATTGCCTACGTTTAATGTCAAATAATGGATACATATTTGTTATGACCCTTGGCTACGTTAAAAGATAACAGAAGCGAAAGGAAAGATAAAGTGAAAGAGGCCAGGGAGGGATTGACATGCGAGGTAGCAGAAATCTAAAGACAGTTATACGCGCCTCATGAACGTGTGGATGATACCGCATGTGTACGTACGTAATTGTATATGTTTGCAACTATTTGTACTCGTATGTATGGGTATATGTGCTTAGTTTTTGTTTGACATTTGTGTGTGTGTGGTTTGTTTGTGGAACAATTTTCAATAAGTTTCAAACTTACACGTCATAATTTCATCCATTTCTTCGGTTGATTTTTTTCACTTTGAAGTATTTTGACGTTCCTTGAGGAAAAGTAATTTTTGTTAGGTGTTTTTTAATTTTAGATTTTCTTTTGTTTTTCTGATTTCTCAATGCTTATTTTCATTATGGTTTTAAATATTTAGGTTGACAGGGGGTCTGCATATATAATTTTTCATTAATGGCCTTCATTCGGCCCATGGGGGTCGAATGAGTTGCCGACCCCTGGTCTACACATTAAAAACAAAAAACAAACCTTAAAAATACCATCTAACCGGATCCGAACCAGTGTCGCCACTCCCTTTGTAGGAGAAAGTACAGTTTGATTCAGGATCCTTACAGCTATTTCTGACACCTCATTAACTCTTGATATCAAAATATTTCACTTGCAATCAACAGGGTCTTATTTTTATACAAAAAACTTAAAATTTACATTGAGACACTATTGACTTATTAATTTACATTTGCTTTATTTTCTTTTTGCTACTAATGTCAAAACATGTGTCATCTAACACAAAACCTTTATAGTGATGTGGGACTTCAGTGTTGAAATGAGCAGTTGATTTACCAACGCCAAGGAGATTAATGAAGGGCAATAATAACAAGGAAACACACAGGTACTTTTAACAAAAGATAAGGAATTTATTAACGAACTGACACGCTTGAAATAGTGTCAGTTTCAAGAAAATAATCAGAATTCTTAAAATTTGTAGTTTTAACGAATTGTCATGAAGAGGAAATTTTTTTCATACAAAAAAAAAAAATGATCCAACAAAATAATATTAAAAGATGTTTAACACAAAAAGTTAAGAGATTTTGTTGCTCCCCAAAAGGAGATATGCTTTGTGCATATTAATATATATCTTATATCAAACTTCATAAGATCACTATTTACTTTCCTTCTTGGCTAATTTATGTGAAGGTAATATTTCTATTGGTCCCTAAACAATCTGTACTTTTCATTAAAATCTGATCCTTGGTTTTTACTAATTTAAAAATTGAGGGTAGGGGTTGTAGTAAGTGCAAAATAATAACTCCCTTTCAAATTCAGAGAATTCACATATCCAGAGTTATGCCTGTAATATCCATCCACTCATGCTGATGTGGTGTTAGCCACCACATCAGCATGAGTGGATGGGTTACAGGGCATAACTCTGGATGCTGCTTAGAAGACCAAAGTTCAAACCAACATTTGAGTATGGGTTGTTCTTCCAGCACATTTCATACGTAGTTTGGAAAATTTTCTAACATGCTAAATCTTCTAAGTTTAGCATTACGTTCATATACAAACTACTGTAGTTATAGTGTAGAGGTCCCATCACACTGGAGCTGGCCGTAAAGGTTCTGGTCAATGTGAATACATTCTTTTATAAATGGAAAAAGTGTTTCAGGGTCAAAGACTATTCTATAAATTAGAATATAATCTTCCCTTTAAAAAAAAAAAAAAAAAATTCAAGTTAGGACAACACTTTGCTTCTTCCAATTTGGTAAAATCCTTTATCATAGCTGAAATTCACCAGTTTGGAGACTTTCTGAATTCCCTTGCATTTGGCAAAAGAGACTGTTTAATTTTTTTCAGAATGCATTTTGGGTATTGGATGTAAATCTCAATTCAGCTTATGGTTTTCAAAATAAATTTCTCTTCAAAATGTTTCATACAGAGAACTAAATTTTAATCATTCTTCTACGAGGTCAGATTTTCCAAGAGGAAAAGATTATGCCAATACTTTCTCACTGTTAGTAACATATACACTAGAACAGGCCAGTTAGAATTCAGCTTGTTATGTGGTGTGGGGCTGTATAATACCAACTGGCCACTGTAGAACACCTTCAAGGAAGTACTAATGACAGGAACAAAAGAAATCTTTAAGGTAAAAAAAATGGGCAAGCAGATAAAAATCAAATGGCAGAGAATATAAAATGCTAATGAAAACCATCAGCTCGATGTAAGTGGTGGCTTTGTAGAATGCTGAATAATAAATGACGCCAAACCAATTTCACACAAAACATTTTGAACAAAGACAGCAGAAAAGCTGCAATTTTAGAAAGCTCTGTCTATTGAAAATGGCGCATTTCCGGTCATAGATTTCCTTTTGGTGTATTCACCTAATTGAGATGGTTTCCTCACTGGATTTATTATCAGCAAACATAATGGTAAACGGCATACAGTATACGGAGGACACTAGATGGCAGATTCAGAAGCAAAACCAAAACAACTATTAAATAAGGGAGTTGAGAAAAGTGGAGGGAAAGAAAGGAAAAAAAACATCCCAAGACATTAGTTACATCAAAATTAAACAAGCGTGAAAATTCAACAGTGTAACAGAATGTGGAAGCATATAGGAATAAATATTTTGGAAGCCAAGTAAAATATTGAAGAGTAATGTTAGGCAAGAGTGCCAGACTACGATGTTTATTCTGCTATATGGCAGTGAAAGCTGAAGAAAAACAAAAAGGAAATGAAATTGCTTTACTGATGAAAAGGTATTTGATAGGTTTGAAGTATTGCTTAAGAGTATCAGAATGTGCAACGTGAGAGAAAAGAATCACATCATGTTAAGTAAAATGTGGTTTCTAATTTATGATAAGACCTTCACACACCTGCAACAACTAATATGCAATCATGATTTTCATTTAGAAAGTACGTTAGGATTAAACTTAGTTGAATTGTTATTTCTATGTATTACAATGTAAAATTAACTGTTACACAAGATTAAACCCCTTAAGGATATTAATGTTCTTGGCTTAAAATATTTTGTGACTTCATCTATACTGAAAATGTGGAAAATCTTTGGTTGCACATCAAGCATAAGCTGCATTGACATTGGCCACACAGACCCTTGTTTTCAGTATTTGTTGCCTAGTCCACCATTTACTCATTGCTATATATATATATATATATATATATATATATTTATTTATTTATATATATATATAAATGTAAGATTACCTGCTTTATATTCATCAGTGATTTGGTTGTGTGCTAAAAGTAAAAAAAAAAAAAAATATAAAAGGAATTGATATTTGTTTAATCTGCACTGGAAGAAATATGTTAGCTCCGACCAGTGTTTGAGGATTGGGGGGGGAGCCACAGACTGCCCCATATGATGGGTGATTTTGTAATGATGCTATTTGGTGATTATTTTAAAATGAATTTTCTTTCTCTCCTTATTTTGATCAATCTCTTATGTAAATGTTTTCCTGGCACTTGAATCAGTTGGATTTATGCTGAATATCTTAATTACATAAGAAATGCATAAAATAAATTTAGAGAAATGGTTTGGGCGGGAGAGATTTGCTACAGCCCTTTTGACGCAGGAGAAAACTTTACTGCACCTGAGAAGAGTTAAAAATGTGAAAAGACAGAAAGACCAAGGTGACCCCCACCCCTGTCTTATTCAGCACAATAAACTAATTAATCTTATAATCTTAGTTTACATCACAACTTTTCATGTTGGTTGATTTACCAGTAAATAGAATTTACAAATATTTCCATATAATTCTTTGCAGGAAAAAAAAAAAAAAAAAAAAAAAAAAAAAAAGAAAAACACAGCAATTTAGCTACCAATTTTTTTCCATTTTTTTTTTTTTTATTATTGGTCCATCCTTCTGAGTATAATTATTTTTTGGGAGCCTTTGGCACTGAAGCAGAAGTTGCAGTTGATTTAGAGGATTTAGTATTTTTGAATTTGATTTGAGATGCAATTCTGTCTAAATCTCTACGACCTTGTGAAGTGAGGCGCCGGCCACTGTAAAGAAAAATAAAACAATGTCTATGCATATAGACAATTCTATTCCGATATTTCAAAGCAATTTTAAATCCAATTCTTAAAGATGGTTAGGATGAAGTCTCAGAGTAAACTGTCTACATTTATAAATCAGACAGGGATAACAGTGTTCATCAAAGACATTCTCCAGAACAGACCAACAACAATAGTACAAGTTTATTTCATTTATTAGTATAGTTTTTAATTTATGAATTATCAAGCTAACAAATTAAATATCAGAACTAAAAAAGTAGATTTTTTGTTAAATCTCAAGAAATGGTTTGAGACACCAGATTTCTAGGTTAACATGTCCATGTGCCAGACTATATATTCAGTAAACAATTTTTTTCCTAAGATGCAACCACCACACTGTGAAGCCTCCATGCATGATGAAGACCAGGCTTGTGATTTACAATTAACTAGTAGAAAAATTCAGGAATCTTAATGATCATGCCCAAATTAAGACTTAAAAGTAACAAAGACATGAAACTGGAAGATTGTTTTTCAAGAAAAAGCAAATGTATCCGCCCCCCAAATTGCTTAGCATTTAGTAAGACCTCAGAGCAAATTGTCCACACTGAAAATTCAGACAGGGATAACAAGTACTCATCACAGGACACTAATATGTGTATCTCAAATTGAAAAATGCGCCGTACCAAAATTGATATTAAATTTACTGTTATTTATTTTGAAGAGATTCTATCCTAACAAAATGAATATAAAAATGTAAAAGATTGTGTAACATTTGTTCAAGAATTATACTGAAAAACAGTTTATTAAACTGAATATTTTGTTTCTCTTTCCTTAAAATATTTACACAAATCATGCAGCTTTACAGTGTTTATGTTAAGCAAAAAGATATTTCTTCTTTTAAGAATTTCATTAAATTTAATTAGTGCATGTACATAATCATATAATATTTACTTACCCAGTTGGGTCTTTCTCAACTAACTTAAGGTTCTCCAAAGCTTGCAACACTCTTCGTGCAATTGATGCTGAACTAGGACAGAAGTGACTGGGAACTGTTCCATTCCTCTTACGACCTGAGAGGAGCGGTGGGAGAGGAAAAATAAAAATAAAAATTAAGAGAAATGTACCAGCCCTTTCATTAACATCTACTTCCACAAAAATAAGTTAAATTTTTATTTACTGAGACAATAAAAAAAAAAAGGAAAAAAAAAAAAGCAATGCCACATTTGTTGTTTCAGGATACATACCACCATAAATCTTTGTAAAAGCTCCAACGCCAACAGGTGAGTTGATGTAGAGATGTCTGCAAACTGAAGCTACAAAAACAAGGAAAATGATAATGTTAAAGAAAAGCTTACAAAATAAAAATGTGTACATTATAAAGACAAAGCAAAGTTAATGCCTTCCATTTATTTCCAATGCAGAGAGCACAAAATAATTGGATTGAGTTATGTTTTCAACTAAAATTTCCAAACAAGAACACACATTCATAACAGTAGCTAACTGTGCTCACATCCGTTATTAGATCATCACTCATCATGTTTCTGTAAATAAGCATGGAAAAAGTTTTTACACCCTCCCCATTTACAGCACTGGCCCAGTGATTTAAAAAAGAGTAACTATTATTTAATGGTATCCCAAGATTATCCACATTTTAAATTCTATAATCACTAGTTTCCCTGCCATGCATAGATTGCAATTTTCTTCAAGTCTTAACTGGAATAGAATTTAAAGCAAATACACTAATAATTCATTATCATTTAAAATCTAAAGGATACAGGTGTAAGACTATGTTGTCAAAATATATGTGAGAGATGAACTTTACATGGAATCTTTTTTTCCAGGTCACCTACCTCTTCGTCATCACAGCTAAGCTGTATTAGTTAATTTTGACTTTCCCTCAAAAGGTGTTATATGAAAAAAATATCTTGTTAAAAATCTTGAAAATATAGCCTCAATTCTTAATAGAATTCAACATTAAGATTTTTGTGAGGAGTTACCACTAATTAATTTTAATATACATTTGTTTTCAGACAAAAATCTGATGTACATTTCTGAATTTTACTTGTATTTTTATGGGTCATTGCTGAAAAATGGAAAAAAAAAAGGGAGGGGTCCAAGAATCAAATATAAATATTTAAAGCTATTTCCCAAAAAAGAAAAGATTAATTTGTTAATTCTCTTTAATCAGACAACACTTAGCTATGTGTTCAGCCTATTTTGTTGTTTTTCTAGTGTTAAGACCTACACATCAAATTAGCTAACTAGCAAGAAGTGATAAAATAGAGTTGGATAATTCTCAGGAAAGACAGTGGGAGTAGCCCCCCCCCCAACATTCTTCATGGTATTGAATGTTTGAGCATTTCTCCTAGACTGTTACACTACTCACACCTTACAATTGTATATAAAAAAAAAAAAAGTATTATTTCTACAGATAAACAATCTTTATAATAAAAAATAAAAAAGCTGAAGTTCTGTACATGGGTTAATTTTTATAACATTCTAGGATTATTTAAATAAGTTTTATTTTTAAGTTTAACTCTTTTAATGCAAGCCATCAATAATGACAGGATCTTATACCACACACAGACAAAACTCAATTTGACACGATCTCAAATAAAACAAAACTTTTACGATTATTCTTACAAATTCTGTTTTTTATTTTACATCAAAATTTAATTTTGAAGAAATCTGCAAGTATCAGAAGTCATATGAACTCATATGGAGTTAAAACCAGCACATCTGGTCAGATAACTCCTCGGTATTAGCATGACCAGTAATCATCATCAACATGCAGAGACACATTGTTATTTTTTTTAATGCAATGGGACAAAATGCACTAACACCATTATGTAACATTTCCTTAAAATACACATTAGAACTAAAAGGGCCAAGAAAATGTAAAATTATATATATATATATATATATATAATTCCAAATTATTGTTCTTTAAATGGAGCAGGGCCTTTTTGTGTGTAAAAATTACATTAAAACTCTGCCTATGCCAGTTACAATCTTAACCGAATCTAAAACCTAGAGGAAAGTAGGGGGCGCTTAAAAAAAGCAAAAAAAGAAAAGCATTACTTACCAGCTCTGATGAAAAACCAATCTTCTTCATAAGGTGCCAGTTCATTAAATCTTCCCAATTTGACAATATCAATCCAGTCAGGAATCTTCATTTTTCCTGATCTGTTATAAATTAAAGAATTTCAAAAATTAAATGGTTATATTCAAAACATAATAATTTTTAATGTCAGAGATGTTAAGAATTCAACACCTAATAAATTTATCTTGAAAATTGCCTTTAGCTTCCTTTAAATGACATTTTACTTAATTTGCAGTAAAATAATAAAATACAGTTGTTGTAAAACTAAACCAGATCTAAGAAAAATTAAAATCACTATAATTTTTTTCCCTTTTAATCATAAGAGACATTAATCACTAACTTGCTATGTAGACGTTTACATTTACCTATACTTTTTGGCACTGGAATTCAAATCTATCCAAGATACCAAGTGCAAAACTGTCCTATGGTGATAGACTTCACACAAGAAAATGTATCAAATATCAATACATTTTTATATGAATATTAAATACTTATACATATTTCTAGATACATGCTCCTGTGATGGAAGAAGATAATGAAAAAAAAAAAAAAAAAAGACAAATTAAACTGTCATCTGAATTAACAGAAATAAATGAAGGGATTCTTGCTGGTGGCATATGTACACACTGCTTCCTCATAAATAAGGATGGCTATCACAATTATCATCGATACCCTTAATGTCAGGGATCAAATATGGCCTTTTTTTGGCCCAGTCAAATACTCTCATTGTTTGCTACAAAACTATATGCACGAATTGCCATATATTTTGAAATTTAACATTTCATATAACTAAATGTTAAATTGATTTTATTGTAGAGATTGAGGAGTCTCTGATGTTTAAAAGAAAGAATAATGTTGGAAGAGTAGTATGTCAAGAATTAATTTTTGCTGAAAGAAGTATGGAAATTTCACTTCCAATTGTGCAGTGATGTGTAGAATTATAAATTAGCAAATCATTCTTTTAATATTCCACAAAAAATAAATAAACAAACCTTTTAAGAAAGGTGGACAGAGCCTTAGTGAATTCATGTTGATCAACGTCTTTGACGCTAACACCGGTCTGCAAGATAAGAAAAATTATTATTATTTTTTATAGTAAGGAATGAGGAGGAGGGGGGGGAGAAAACCGACCTTAACTAATTCCTGATGCAAATAAGAGGCATTATTAAACAAACTCTTTGCGTAAATTGTTTTAATTACAAAAATAAAAACCTAAGTATTTTCCATTAGCAATTCATTCAAGCCGGATCGTATTCTATAAAATTTTCTTATAATTTCTTTTACTTTACTTTTCTTATAATTTACCTCATCTTTATGGGTAGCGGCACATAGGGCCATTAAACAAAAATTTTTTTTTTTTATTTGTTCATCCTAAAAAATTTCTGACGTCCCCGCCATTACCTTTTTTCTTTTAAAAAGAAGTCGAAAATATTTACCATAAAAACTGAAATATATCTGTACATTTTACCTCATGATTAAAATTTTTAGTTACAGAAAAGTTATTTTTTCGTTTTCATTCTTAGTACATGACTTTCCAAATCGAAAAGTCGTGTCAGAATATGAGGCTTGTTAAATATTGTTAAGTCGATGAATCATTGTTTACTCCACAGAAATCATTTGGAGCGGTAAACTCGACCCTAGTATTTATACAGCTTTTGGCATTAATATTTTCTGTCTGTATTCCATGGCTATTTTATTTTAACATTTAAGTTACTTCATCTTCGGATCAAACATTCACTTGACTGATACGAAAATCTAATTGAATGCTTGATTTGAAGGATTCCCCATTGATTTTCAATGATACCAATTACATTCATTTAGACTTTTGTAAAAGTTTCCGGTATTCCATGTTTTTATTAATAGGAAACGGTTAGGATTATTAGCAGTCATGCCTTAAAGAAATTGGGACCAACAGGTTTCGTCCTATTGATAAAAAAGGATGCTGCTAATCTGAAAGAAAACTCTCAGAATTCGGTTCAAAAATATAAGTTCAAGTAAGGGAATAATGACATATCTGGTTTCAATATAAAAAAAAAAAAAAAAAAAAAAAACTTAGGTACTACTAGAAAATAAAGTATTTTGTAGGAAAATAAAACCTAGTTTAGTCTCTGGGTAAAATTGTTAAAATTAAAAAATAGATCTAAATCTATGATGCCAAATTAATGAAACAATAACCACTTGCAAGAATTTGTACTTATTTTTTAAAATTAAATACATTAATTCGTAAACGTTAATTACACACCTTAGGACTAGAAATGTGTAAATTGATATTTTTGGTAATTAATAGTAATAGTTTCCCCTCATTTCAGTTCATTCTTTGGGAGATGCCAAAATTTATTAAAATTTGCAAAGTTTACTTTAGTAACAGCCGGACTTAGCTGATTTTATTTTTCATACATACACAACAAATGAGACTAAAATACACGTAAAAAAAGAAAAATATCTTAAACTAGTTAAGCTTCCAATTATGAATATTCAGGGAAAAAGCTGCACAATTTACTAAAGATTTTGCTATTTTATTTCACTAAGGAAAAAACAAATAAATGTGGTAGCTAAACGGCCATACCAACAAGACAATATTATAAATTTAACAAATCAAAGGACCAAAAGAAAAGAGAAAGAGTGACTGCTCGAATTTTGCCGCATGGTGGAAAGTAGACATGTTGGCGGCCTGAAATTTCCACAACGTGGTTCACTAAATAAAGTGCATAAAATGTTCCGTTTAAGGATAAAAAAGAGAACGTCAGCAATTTAAGATTCGTAAACACTCATTCTAAGACAATATCAAAGTAAACATCTAAATTTAAAAGTTGTACAAAAATTAAAATTGTAGGAAAACTCAGAAACACATACCTTCCGCCCGACGACCATGATTGCAAAAGAACGAACACGTGACTTGAACAACCAATGAAAAAGCGCTGTTACTATGATTCCTGTTCGTTTAACAAGGATGGTATAACGGAACAGGAATAGACGATGAATGTAAATACGATAATTCTGCTATTCTATTATAAACCGGAAGTTTCATGGCCAAAATTTGATATGCAATATTTTCTTTTTTTTTAACCGCATGATAGTAATTTTAACCACATTAATTTGTTTGCAATAAATTATTTTTTTTAATATTATGTCTGATTTAAATAATTTTGAAGTACTTTTTAATAACAGGAGTTTCATGAAGAATATATTGATATCATGCTAGTCGTCAAACAGAATTAGCCTCGGCATTTTCGTATTTTCACAATGGTTTGGCTTTGTGACAACGTTCGCTGTACAAAATGATTTTTTTCTTACGTACTGAAAGTATTATTCACCGTGGAATTCTTCGGTGTATTTAATATATGTGAGAAATTGATGACAGAAATGAAATCTTGAAGTGAAGTTATTTTTTTATATGGTCGTAAAAGCCAGAAAATATCACTGCATCGTGACTAACAATATCTATCACAGAGTCATCTTTTTAGATATGTGACATTCTAGTGATTACAACGAAAGAAATGTTTGGTTTATTTACGATACATTGCTCTGTTTGATTGTTGGAAGACCTGCTGAACACATAGGGTAAAGAGATAAATTCGGTAATGACAATGAAAGAAGCGACAGTAATATGATCGGACGTAGGTTTTTGTTTTTTTGAGAATAAATTTTGATACCTCAAATTATTAGATTATTTTGCTTTGATTTTTTTTTTAAATGGTAAGTATTCGGTCTAGCTGAAAGTGAAATGCTTTGGGAAATAGGTATATCCATCCGCGTGCCCACGACAACAGAATGTGACACAAGGCCGGGGTTTTATGTGGGATTTCCGGAAAGCCCCTCGGCACTTCCATTTTTGGTGGGGATGCCTAAGGCCCCCTCCCAAAGGAGAGGTACTGCCTGATGGGGGGACCCCTTACGTACTTTGAAGTAATATTAATTTCAAATTAGGTCTGGGAGTCATTTGAAAGTATGGAAATAAAAGTAAAAAGTTTGTGAGTAATAAAGTTTTCCGATCTTTATAGCACCATAAATTGAGTTCCGAGTCTCAGAAAATAAAAATTGCATTTTTTTTATCTTTTTAGTTTTTCCGCACAAACAAAAAAATAATAAGACTAATAAAAAGCATATGCTATTTTCAAAGAAAAAAAAATGTACATAAAGCAAGTATCCAGTTAAATTTACATTGTAAATCAACAAATCCCTACTTGTTAAACTTGTTTTCCTCAAGAATCATCATAATCATTCAAATCACACAAAAAAATGCACAAGAAAAATCTATTTTTATATAAAATACTTTAGTTTAAATGATACTTTACTAAAATAACTCCAGTTATGAAAGATATACAAATCTATATACTGGATTAATAGTCGGTAATTTAATGACAAAATGCAAAACTATGTAACATTCCATGCCTAGAATGAACCTTAGACTAATAAATCAATTAGTCATTAACTATTATATGCTTTGCTATTAACCAGCATGCACATCTTAGATGTTATACTCAGTGTTTCAACCATTCTACTCTCTGGTCTTCTGCAGGTGTCTTGTTATAAATGATAACCTTTGGAAACTTGATTCAATCCAGAGGTGGTAGATTCTTTTCATTTCACTTATACTTCAGGGATATTTCATATCAGTTAATATTTACTGATTTTATTTATCGTCGAAGAAAACTGCCAAGTACAACGACAGGCACTTTAAGAAAACTGAAATGTTGAGAGTTTAACAACCAAGATGAGCAATGCTCACTGGTGCAAATAGTAAAGTATATAATAATCTTTCATCACAAAAATTCAAACAAAACTACGAGTTGAGTAGGAAATGGGAAAATACTCTGAAGTCATTCTGGGGCAACAATTTCTTTACTAATCAAGACAAAAATACTTTAGTGATTTTCTTACTTTCAAAATAGATGAGTTCAGAAAACAATTCAATGCAAGGAAAAAATTTATTACATAATATGAGTATATATTGAAAGGCCATAAATATGAGGTACCCAATGATAATCAAAGTCACTACTCTGTAGTTAAGTCTAGCTCATATATCCCCACTGAATTGCAGTAATGATGCAATACAAGATTCATGTTTGACAAAATTGTTCAACATTTTCTAGACAAATTAATCAAAGGTTTTAAATTTGATAGCTGACAGAATTTGTTGGTTCAATTTTCCTTTCTACTCCCTAATTAGTATGCACTGAGCTTGGCTGGCCATGTGACCCTCAATGGCCAATCAACAGAGCCCCATAGTTTATTGGTAGATGCCACTAAAAGAAGATGCATTTGTGACTGGTGGGTAAACACAGCTTTTTGCAACATGATGAGCCTACTTTCATAACATTCACTATTTTTCCTTTTAATGGTTGGGGAGATATATTGTGTTAAAATTTATTTATATATTTTGTTAGAATGTTTGTAGAAAATAAAAAATTTCATTTACATTTTTCTGATTTCACCCTAGCCATCTTTATTATTTTCTTATAAATGCTTAATTAATTTTCTGCTTTATTCACCCAAATACTAGGAAAAGGTTACTCAATATATATATATATATATATATATATATATATATATTTTTTTTTTTTCCATGAAACAGTTCCAGTTTGTCACATAATAGACTTATATTGGAAAACATAATAAGATTGGATTTGATAATTATTGTAAACAGCAAAAGACATCAATGAGTTTTGAAATGTTTCTTTTGTGATAAAACAGAACTTGTGCATATAAACAAGAAGAAAATTGATCTGTATGGGTTTAAGATAGATTATTAAGTGTATACATTAATTGTATTTTGAAAAACATCTCATAAACTTGAGAAATGAAATCCACAAATGGTTGTTGAGAGAAATGTTAGTACAAATGTTCTGTAAGTTGTTTGTGAAGTTTTTTCAAGCGTCTTGAGAGGAATGTCACCTGAATATAGCAACTGACCAGTTTACAAAAATAATAACCATTCTTTTATTGACAAATGAATGCCCTGTAAAATAGAAACAAAAAACTTTCTTTTGTGTTCCAGGTATATGGAAACCCGAGTAACTTTTATTAAACATCCCTTTTTCTGACACAAGGCCATAAACTGCTTATATTGTCTGGTATTTCCCAGCAGTCACCATCTCAACAGTGATCAGGTTCAACATTGCTTATCTTCCTGATCATGCAAAAACCAAAAGACTCGTCATCTAGAATGAAATCGTTAAAATTCACTGCCTTAACAAACTCAGTTTGTTTCTTTAACTGTGTTCAATTTTAGAAAAGAAAAAAATAAAATCATTGATTAAAATATCTGAATGAAAAAAAAACAATAAAAGTGAATGGTCAATTTATTTTAATAATTTTCAGATTTATGTATTTTGTTTGAGGATAGAGAAAGTTTCCTAAACTTTTTAGTGGGATTTCTCCTTTACACAACTAGTAATATTCATTATTGATAAAAAAAAAAATCTGGATTTGTGAAACTTAATATTCTTGGATCTTTTTATATATGTAGAGCAAAATTTTTGTTTTGTAAGTTGACATGATCCCTTGAAAAAAACAAAACAAATTACTTGTTTGGTAGATAATCTTCCTCTTTTTGGGGAATTGCCAGAACAGAACACAGAAGATCTACTAAGATTTACTAAATGTAACAAAGGTTTTGTTTCAGAGCAAATCAAAAATTCCCAGGATTTTACAACAATTATTATGTAAAAACTTTCTTTGTTTTAAAATTAAAATCAATATGTTAAATGTTTTCAAAATTGTTTTAATTTGAATGATATTAAGAAAATTATATAACAATGTAAATATAATGAGTCTTGATGCCAAAGGCAGATATTTACTGATCTGAGTCTTGGCATAAAAGGCTACACAATCTCCTTGACATCAGTTGTCATAACGAGCTTTTGGTTACAAAGGAAAGAAACAAACATGGACTCAATTTTCAACCACATGTATTTGTCAAAATTTGGAATATATACTTAGTTGTTTGAAATTTGGCAAAATTGTTCATGTATGGTTTTTCAGTTGCTCTTGGTAAGAAAAGCAATTAGGTCAAAGGGTTGGTAGAACTAGGAAATGACCAATTTTTGGGTTGGTTGGCTGAGGTCACAGTTGGGTATCGGAGGATAGGTGTGGAGTAGATAAGTTGTTGGTGGGGTTTAACATACACCCCTACTTCATGGTTGAGATCAACACCTATGAGGTTTTTGATTGGCTGGTGGTCATGTGATACTGAGATACTGAAGCCAAACTGCCTGGTAAGGTGGGTTAGAGGGTTGGTTGATCAAAGTCACAGTGATGGGTTGATTCATTGTGAGGTGCATTGGTAGGTTGGTGGCCAAGTTTATATTGGTTGCAACAAGGGAGCTGAATAGTAAAAATGTTGATGCCTTGAAATCATGATGGTGGTATCAGGAGTCATCCACTATCTGCGTATGAAGAGCTAGCATGCCTACATGCCAACAGGTGGCCTTTCAGACTGCTACTGTATTGGTCATTTATAAGGAGTTCTCTTTTAAGCAAATCTGATGGTCCTTAGGGTCATCTATTTTCTGACAGGAATGTTTGTGATTGGATGTTGCATTTTATTGCAGGGATTTGTTTTGTAGACTGAATGTGATGCTCAGAACCGCTGCGCAGAAAACAACTTTTTTATTTTGTGTTTACCGTTCTTAGTGTTCTTATCCAACCAACATGTTGTGTGAATCAGAAAAAGATCTAATTGCAGTGGAGTATAAATTTCTTAAATTGCAGAAAGAATGCAGCCAAGTGAGTCACTAACATAAAAGCTAGAAAACTCAAATGCTGCCATCTAGTCAACTGTTGAACTTGATATGTTACACAGAATATGCTATCCTTATTAGGATGATCTTTCATGGTTAGGAGCAAACAGTCTTCTGGTGTAAGTAAAAGAATAACCAAAGCTTTAACAGATTTGCTGTAACTCAACATCCATCCTTGACAATGATTTTATCACATAGTCTTTCACAGATTTGATAAGGTTTTCATTTTCTGTTAACCATGAAGGCAGAAGAAATTTC